TGATCGCATGCATGCAATCACACCAAAGTGGGCGTTGTACAAGGTTGGAATGAAAATGGACACAAAACGGACGTTGCGTCATGTCCGGCCGGTGGGTGCTGTCGACGGTGATGCCAACGTGTGGAAAAAGTTTCTTCCCTTTCGGCGGAGTAAAGAAAACGCATTTATCAATCAATGTATTTTCGAAAATGTTTTGTTTTAAAACCAACACAATTAATGCATGGGCCCGGCGTATATATGCCTGTCCATCGGGGGTCTAAGCCCAAGGGGGTGTTTGTTTCCAGGACTTTTTGGTGTAGGGACTAGAAAAAGTCCCTAACAAACCAAACAGGGTGAGACTTTTTTGAGACTTTTTGCTAAAAGTCCTTAGAAGCACCTCCTTGAGAGTCTTTTTCAAAAAGTCCCAGTGACTAGAAAAAGTCCTAGGACTAGAGAAACAAACACCACCCAAGTCCACGCCGCCTCCACGATCACCAGTCCACGCCGCCTCCACGATCGCCCAACCCTAGCAATCTGCGCCCGCCGCCCCCGACGCCATCTGCAGCCGGCGCCGCCCCCGACGCCATCTGCCACCGATGCCACCTCACGCTGAAGCTATTTGCCACGGACGCCGCCCCCGACGCCATCTATGGCCGACGCTGCCCCCGACGCCACCTGCCACTGACGCCACCTCACGCCGCCGCCCCAGACGCCGCCGCCCCCGATGAACTGCTACTGCTCCTGGCCTAGCTTTTAAGGTGCGTCTTGCGCATGCAGCTGACCGAATGCAACCAGTGCGGCCGTCGCTCTTTGTGTTAGGAGACGGGTTTACGGACGTTGGCAACAACAACTGCCTGGAGAACAACGAAGTAGGAACCCTGTAAGAGCCAACCACTCTTACCATGGCATAGACTACAGTTTTGAGAATAGTCTAGTATTAATAACACAGTATTTAGTGCTAGCCAAACATGTCACTGTAAATAAAACTATGGTATCTAAAAAATCAGTAATATTTTTAGAATACTTAGAAAATAATTTGCTATCAAACAGGGCATTAAAATATAAGCATAACCTTGATCTTTGAATTTTTTGTCCCTAGGTCAGTACACTGTCTACTTAGAAAATACTTTGAGAATACTCTAATTTTTTGACAGTTTGTCTGATGAGCACATATCAGCAAACACAATAAGTTGCACCTTGGAATGTCTAATTTGATTACGTCTAATGTGAATGAGCTTATATAACTATGAATTTTATTTACAGTTAGCCACCGCGCCATCGTCCCCCAGGGCCGGCCCCGATCCCATGGCACGAGGTACTGTGCATTCATCATGTTTATCAGGTACCCATATAAAGTAGCTAATATTATTTTTGCTCCTATTCCTAGTGATGGACAAGTACGGAGAGATTTACTGTTCGGTTGAGAAGTGGTGTCTGTTGGTCAACAAACTAAACTCTAGGCAGAAAAAGCGTTTTGCAAGCACTAGACTTGAGAAATGTTGATGATTCCTAGTGTGCTCATGTGAAAGTGTTTGCTCAAGTTCATTATTAAATCATATGCGTTGGACAGAAAAAGGTTCATCATGCCATCAAAAAACGGTGCGATATCATTGTGCACCGAAGATGTGTTTGACATTTTCGGGCTACAGAACAAGGGCAAAGATGCCATGAAAGCGCTAGGTAAAGGGGCGTTTAAGGGGAAGGTGAAGGTGCCTAGTCGTTTTCTAGATTCCAGTAAGGGTGAAATGATGATAGACGAGCTGATTGAGAACATCGTTGCCAGTGGCACGTACAATTCTGATTTTCTCCGTAGAATTATTCTGGTTCTTCTAGGCATGGTTCTTGCACCGCAGTCCACGAAAGAAGTTCCTAATGCTTACTACAAGTTAGTGGAGGATGTGGAGGCCATCAAAGCATTTAATTGGAACGCGTTTACTTTACATGTTTGCGGTGAAGGCATCGCCAAGTCCTTATCAGATCTTACAAATTTTACTTGGCCGATCGGAAACCTTGCCCTCATATAGGTAAATCTTACGTTATATTTGTTTCTTTCGATCTACAGTTTGTGAAAAAAAGTTTTCTAATATACTTTATGTTCATGCAGTACTTCTTTTGGGAGAAAGCGCAGCCACTGGATCAAGAGGAATTTGATCGACTTGCTCATGAATATCCGTTGATGCTTAATTGGTCAGAAGATGAGGCTAAGAAGCG